TGTCCCCGCCCGCGGCGGTTCGTGCCCGGCCGCAGCCGCGGCTCCTGTGCCCGTGTCACTCAGCGCGCAGTAATACACGGCCGCGTCCCCGCGCCGGGGCCGAGCGAGGTACAGAGCGCTGGATTTGCGATCTTCCGACACCCACAGGTGGCCCTCTCTGTCCGGCAGATCACTGGACCCTCTAGCAGTGAGTACGAGGAGCTCGGGGCCCCGGCCCGGGAGCTGACGATACCAGCAGATCGTTTCGCCGATCCGTGTGTTGGTGTGGGAGCAGCTGATGTTGATGCCGGTGCCGTCGGTGGTCTCCAGCCACTGCTCCTGCTCTACCTGGGCTCTGGCCACAGCCACTGCCATGGACAAAAGAAGAACCACTTTGCTTCAGCAGCAAATGCCGTGTTCAGGGTGCGGGGAGAGGGCAGAGTAGGATCGATCACAGCTAAGTGGGGTATGTTCTGAGAATAAAGCACGGAGAGAGTATTTCTCCGACAGTGACTGGTTGGAAATAAGAATGGGGGATATTTTGCAGAAGAGTCGGACTGCAGAAGCGGAGTTCGGGATGAGGAAAAGAGATTGGCTGGAATGAATGGATGTGTGGATGAATCTATGAATCAATGAATGGGTAACGAAATTGAGTAATAAAAAAGAGAAGCTCGGCGCGAATGGATACATTGGGGAGAGAAGCGCTGACGGCAGTGGGTGCAAAGGAGCGAGGAGGAGCAGGAGTGCCAGAGACAAATCCCGAGCCCAGAGCTGATCCCAGGCAGACCCAGATTCATCCCCGGCCCCCCGACTCCTCCACTGTCCCCCCGCGCACCGAGCAGCACCGCGGCCAGCGCCGCCAGCCCCGCGCCCCGACCCCGCCGCATCCCGCCGCTCCGCCGCCCGAGCATCGCTGTCCCCGCCAGCCCCGGCTCTCTGCTCCGGCCGTGCCGCCTCCTCTCCGCCGCCGCCAGCTCCGCCCCGGCCGGACTCAGCCCCCGCCTCTCACAGCACCGGCACAGTGAGCGGCACAAGGACGTTTGGCATTGCCATTGGCAAGACACAGCTCTGTCCCGTCCCACAGAGCACCGGGCTGCATTTCAGCCCCTCTTCCCTGCACACATCTGCAGCGGGCAGGTGCCGGCAGCGCTCAGCTGCGCTCGGGCTCCTGCTGACACTGGGCAGCTGCTGCTCTGTGCTGTGCAGGGCCAAAACAGTGCTCAGTATCCCCCGAGTAGCGAGGAAATTCCCTCCCGATGAGGGACACGCCTGTTCTG